TAATGCACTGAGAAAAAATATTTGAAAATTTATTTGTGGAATATAAAGTTTATTCACAGGAATAAACTTTATATCCTATAAATAAATTTTCAAGTATTTCTTTTCAGTATATCATCCAACCCTTTTCGAACTACGATTTGAATTGTTTGACTTCAATGATCATGCAGGAATTAATCATCAATGATCATGTTAACTAGCTATATACTTGCCTATATACTTGTAGCATTGTACTTGCCTATGAAGCATTTGGACATACTATGTATATTCCATGTATATACATTTGAGTATTGGATATATATATCTATGATGCATTATATATATAATGTATATCAAATATATATAAACATAAATGAACATACATTAAATGCTCCATGCATGTGTATATCATTAGTATAACTTATATATATATTCATTCTACGTATATTGTTTGGATATATGTTACACATACATGTATATATCCAAAAATTAATACCAAATTAATGTACATATATTATAATATTTGCAAGTTAATAATACACATTTATACATAAATTTACATTTATACATATATACATATGTATAAATATATACAACCAGACTTTATTAATGCAGTCCCATCTCGAAAAATCGAAATATCGAATCGTCCTGTCAGATGTAACAAGTTTAAATATTTGTGTATCATGACTATGGACCGTTCGAAGAATCGATAACGCTGCTCCCAAGCAACGATCTGTCACCATATAGAGAATCACCGCCAGTATCTATATTAAGAATAATTTTACACAAATATTATTTCCGCACTCAGAGCTAATTTCGGTACTTATAACGTGGTGGCCTCCTCCTGTTGCTTCTCTGCCTTCATTTCATCATTCATATCATTTTAAAACACCTCTTTACTAAACTAGGTTACCAATCACTGTTCGTTCATATTTCGCGTTACATAGATTAATGTAAAGCTGTCAAACCGACATATAGTGACAGATCGCTGCTTTGGAGCAGCGTTGCCTATTCCTTAAGTGGTCTGCGGTCATAATGCACAGATATTTAGATTTGTCGTGCCTAACTGGATAATTCAATATCTCGATTTTTCGAAACTGCATTAAGACTCCTGGCCCCTCGTATCGTCTATCTCTTTTTAATAACGTCAGAAACAAGAAAATATATGCTAAAAATTTTTGTGAAATACATTGAAATAACAATATATATATATATATGAACCATAAAATGACACAATCAATTAAACAAATTTGTAAGATATTCCGTGCACTTTCCTTTTGCTCTAACAATCAATAATTTGTCATAAATTAACGTGACATATAATTCATCTTCTTAACCTGTTTCTTTGTCTATTTCTATTCAGATTAATTTACAATAAATTATTGATCGTTAGAGCAAAAGAGGAGTGCACGGAATATCTTACAAATTTGTATAATCGATTGCAAGTGTTACTTTATGGATATGTGTTTTTATTTCAACATATTTCGCAAGAATTTTTAGCATGCATTTTCTCGCTTTCTTTTTTCATTAAAAAGAGATAGACAATGCGAGGAGACAGGAGCCTTAATGAAGTCTAATGTACATATATTGAACATTTTATTTACTATTTTTATTATTTTTTATTTGTTAATTTTCATTCATCTGCGCGCGGTCACTCATCCTTGTACTGAACGTAGTCATTGATGTTTGATTTTAGTAATTAAATAGTAATTAATTATGCGAACGACTTATGACTTATGCTTATACATCTATGTAAATACAAAGATACATGTTTTTCCTTACACTCATATACAATTGGATATTTTTTATACGTATATATATTAGACTACGTGCAAATAATATCCTGTATATCTTACATATAAGGTTGGGAAAGTTACTTTTTAAAAGTAACTAGTTACAGTTACAAGTTACTGGCTATGAAAAGTAACTCGTTACAGTTACTGAAAAAGTAACGAGTCGTTACTTTTAAGTTACTTTTTTGAAATGATTATAAATTAGTATTGTAAATACAAAAATCTTACACTTTAAGTTTTACTAAAATGTAAAAATTGAATTTTATAATTAACATCTATCACATTAATTAGTCTATCCACTTAACAAATTTCAAATATGTATTTAATATAACAAAAATTTAATGATAGTCTTGTAAAAAATAGATGTAAAGAATTTAATCACATACTCCATAAATATGTTGATAAATTTATTAAATTAATATACGATTACTATATAATTTTAATTCTATCTTACGTTCCCCAAGTAACTATTAAAGTAACTATTAAAAAAGTTACAAGTTACTAAAAATAAATAATTAAGTTAAGTTACAGTTACCGAAAGAATGTAACTGTAACTTCACTACAAGTAACCAGTTACTTCCCAACCCTGCTTACATATAACACATATGCACATCGCATATGTATTTCAAGATTCTCGAAGCAATTGATTCCAAGGATTCTTATTCACCATTCTCTGAGAATCAGTTATGAGTTCCGTTGAAAAATTCTGCCGGAATTTACTCATGCAAATGTAACATCAGATGGAGAACGTTAAAAGACACTTTCTCATGCAGACTCGATGATGGGCGCGAGCATCGGCAATCGATTAATCGTGGCTCGCCTAACCGCCGGTAACATCGTAACACCAGCATTAACAGTGATCCCGCGATGACGGCGGCGCCGAACAAAAAGGATATATACACGAGTTAGTCGCGCACGCATAAATATATATTTTTCTGTCACGCGTGTATCCGCCCCAGCCATAAACGCGGTGAGAGGATAAAGAGAGAAAGAGAATGCGCGAGCACGGGCAGGTGCGTCGTCATTCATGCAGATAGATGATCACGGATAACTCGAAATCGGCCGCGTGCGCGCACACCCATTTCGGCCTCGAGAGACCGCGCGCAGGATCTCGCGCTCGGCGTTTAACGTTGTATAAATTTCCGCCTGAAACATGCGCGCACGCGCGCGTAACAAGGGGGGAGGAGGGCAGAGAAACAGAGATCTAAATGATAATTTAGTCGGCTCTGCGCGCGATCAAAGTGACGACGTTCTAATGAGACGTAATCATTATCGTATCGGCCGCGATCGGTGAAGAGAGCCGTGTGCCGAGACAGTTGGAATTTTCACGACACGAAACGCGAGTCCCGAAGAATCGAGCGAGAACCCGCCCCGGAAACGCGGAATACCGGAGTGAACAGCCGAATCGCAATATACGACGTCGGCTGAAGCGAAACGAATCTCCGATCGGACGGTAAATTTAATTTCGCTTAATTAAACGGACGCAGTTATTCGTTATGTTTCATGCTTCGGAGTCACGCGTGTCCGAGGCTGCCGAGGTGAATTTCACCGAGCGCCGTTTCCGTAAATTCAACCGCAGCCCGGCAATTAATCCTCTCGCCGTGCCGACCTCGCAGTTTCGTCCGAGCCGTTTTCGGGGGGCGGGTCGATTAATTCGGGCTCCGAATCTGAGCTAATTCGTGAGAAGAAATCGAGGAAATCGCCGGCCAGATGACGTATGCGCTGACACTCTAATCGCGTTTTAATTAACCCCTACCAAGCGGGACGTCGACGCCGTGCCGACACGGGAGTTATAGATATTTCATTTGGAAATATAGGTTTTAATTTAGAGACCGCTCGATCAACGTCCGCGCGTTATAAATGGACACTATGATTGCTCGTTACAACCGCTATGCAGAAAAGCGTTCTCTGTCGGGAATGCTCTCTCGAGCTCCCGCGCGTAGGGAGACGAACAGCGCGCAAACAGATTAGCCGGCTAACTCCGCGGCATATTTTAATCGAGTTTTGAATTATTATTCGATCGGCTACCGATAGCGGCAGCCGGCGCGAATAATTACGGGTTTCGAGTTCGTTCGGAAACGTTTAATCTCCTGCCCTCTCTCGAGCAAGCGCGACTCGCGTTTAGATATATCCGAGAAAAGATCGCTATCATGCGCGTAAGTGCATGAAAATCTGTTCTTCGCAATTGAGATTACGCTGAAAGTGCGTGCGTGGGTCGCAGGAACAACGGAACAATCGGATGAATGGGGAGAAAGAGAGCCTGTTTGATTTAACGTGTTCGACTAACCAAGATTTGATACATAGATTTTTTGATTATTAGTAAGATATTCTGAAATCAGAATATTTAGTTGTATTATCAGAGTTTAATTACTGCATATGTAGTAATAATATCCAAGTGTTTAATTATTATGATTACATGCGAAAAAGAGTATAGTTGGATTAACGTGACCTCCCAGAGAACATAATGTCTAAAATCGGGACATAATATGTCTTAAAGATTTTCTTTAAGATGTCTTTTAGATGATTTACGTATAAATGTCTTTAAAGCGTCTTAAAAATTATCTTTAAGACATCTCATGTCTCGATTTTAGACATTATGTTGTCTGGGCTGTTGGTTCAATTAAACAGAATTTCTGATTGTTATAATCATGTATTCAATACTGATTATAACATAGGTAAACAATATATAACGGATCTGTCAATTAAAGAAGTAGCGTAAGCGACTCACAATTCGAAAGTGTTAAATTTCAGAAAGATAAATGCAAATGTTTCAAGTACAATGGACCGCAAAACGATTTAGACACGATGAATTTCAGAGCCGACGGTCCAATGAGAGAATTTATTTTTTATTTATTCATTTTTTTATTGGACTATTAGCTAAAGTTCATTATGTCCAAACTGTTTTACGACCTACTAGATATACAATAGAACATTGAATTAAGTGGCTAATTTCAAGCAAAATATTCATATATCAACATTTTAAGAAATAACTTTTAATAAAAAAGTAATAAAATTTCTAACAAGTAATATGAACAAGTAATATGAATTTGATTTTATTATTGTAACCAAATTGTCTGCTTACTTTAATCAAAACGCATGAAATCAAATTTGTCTGATTGTCTTAACCAAATTTATAGTTCATTCATTTTTCACCAAACAGTCTGGTTAATGTATCCTAAATTCAGATTAATTAAATCAATTTTTCTTCCGTGCATAAATTTTGAAACTTACCGGTCAAAGTCGGTCAGTCTAGACGAGTCTCTGAAACCTTTGGCGAACGGGTTACTATCGATCTTCAGTCTCGTTATCTGAAAATTTAAACGGGAATCTGTAAATTACGTGGCTTTAATCCGAAACAGGGACGAAATCAACTTTTTCACACTCCAATAACGAGTTGGCTTGTGTACGGAATAGATTGTCGAAACTGTCGAAGTGAACCAGGTTAACTTTGTGCTCAGAGTGCAAAAGGTTAAAAGAAAGATATAAAAGGAATTAATGCAGTGTTATAACTCTTCTCCGTTAAATTTCAATTAATACGTTAACCTCGAATGAAGGTCAACGACGACTGGCATCTGACTTTTCGATGGTGCCACGGGGATTGCTGGTAACCCCCAGATGAGATAAATCACCACATGTGGTGGTACAGTATTTGTAATTATATTACGCAGTAGGGGAGACTAGGGCAAGATGCTACACTTTTCAGGATTAGAAAGTTACAACTTTCCGGACAAATAATTGTTGTGATTGGCTACATAAACATGAAAGAAAATATTGTACTAAAAATTATGTTAAAATTATATATTTTTTTTAAATATTTTTGTAAAGTCAGACTATACTGAAGTTGTCGTAGAATTACTACAGAAATAATAAATTTGACAGTCTATTTGATATATGATATAAAAAACATTTAAATTGTAATAATTTTGTAGTCAAACGTACGTAACATTTTTAAGCAAATATTATACAGTAATTTTAACTATATTTTTATATGATCCAAAACTACAAAAATATTGTAATTTTTACTACAATGTTTTTCCTGTGTAGAAAGAAATAACTTTTTCTATGTTTTTATTTAACAATGATCCTGTAAACCGTATATCTTTTTCCATAATGACCAAAATATAAACATATTGTAACGTGGCTATATTATCTTGGTATCGAATCGAGTTGGTAAACAGGTTAAGGCTACACATAAAATACATATGATTTTATTCCTTGAAATATATTTTATGTTGTTTTTCTTCGGAGAAAAATACAAAGATATATATTTTCCATAGCTAGAATTTAATGATTCTTGTTTTTTATTTATATTTGTGTAAATTGGCTTTTACGGAAGAATAATATTAAGTTAATATCTGTCATTTCTCATAATCCGCTGATATATACGTGAGAATGCAAACCACATATCATATGTGTTCATAAACCGGCATGGTTTATACATGCATAACATACAACCTTAATATATAAAGCTTTTTAGAGAGCGTAATACATTTTTTATGAGACGTTTTAAAATGATATAACTTTATATATTAAAATTATTATGCCGACCCCCTCTCTTGTTCATCTTAGAAATAATTAAACAAATAAATTATACAATCAGATATCATGTATGGGCTTTCATAGATAGCTTAAAATATATAACGGGAGAATTATATAAAATATAAAAATATTTAAATTTCTAAGTCATAAAACAAAAATTTTTTTAAGTGACATGTCTTCTAGAAAATAAGTATATCACAAACAAAAAATATGTATGGTAGTACTAAAGCCAAGCTAGTCTCAAATATTTGCCAACTTTACTTTGTCTGTCCATATGATCGATTTTAGTTATTTTATGAATAAAAATTAATTTTGTCATCCGAAACAGTGTATTATATATTTTATAGACAACATTTTATCCTAACTATATAAATAATTAACTAATTAATTAAATAACTAATTAATTAACTAATTAACTAACTAATAACACGCAATTGAATTTTATTTATTGACGATGGAGAATATTATGAAGCTTTGAAACGTTCGACAATTCAGCTGCTTCTAAATCAGTATTTTTTTTTACTTTTTAACATTATTTCGTTTTTAATAAATCTCCAGAAAGAAACTTATGTTTTAAAAGAAATATTTTTTGCAATTTCACTTCTCCACTAATCTTCTCACGAAAAATATATAAACAAAGCAAAGTAGTTTTACTTTTTAATTACTAGACAAATTTAACATAACTGTTCGGTAGCTGCTCAAAAACTACATTTCTACAGATACAAAAATTACATTTCTACGAATATATTCTCGGATTTTTGTACAAATTTACACGTGAAGTCCTTTGCAAAGATTTATTCCGTCGAGTTAATACTACGAGCGTTTGGAAAACTTACCAACTGATTCTGATATGCCGTGACGGCGGTGAAAATAACCTCCGGAAAGATAAACGTCTTGTGCTCTTCCTTCTGGAGGTCGGTAATTTTCAAATCGTTATTATCGGTGTGTCGACAAAGAACTAGGTGTATCCTCGGCTGATACCTGTGCATCGAGTTGAGCACAATCTGCAACACAACCAGATAAACAATTACAGACATACGATTGGCGCCCCCGCGACGGAGGGTATTAAAGCGAGGAAATATTGATTCCACCACCTAATGAATTCCAGTTTCGAGTATCGCGGACTACTTCTCTCCCGGTGGAACCAAACACGCCGTGCTTTCCCGAGAAAGAAAGAAAGACGACCACGATCGCGATCGCGCGATATTCCCAATAATAAAATACGATTATCGCTCGCGATCGGCGACGAAGTTTCGCGCGAACACGCGTCTTAAGTCGTCGATTATCACAAGTTATCGTGTAATTATTTAGCGTGTATGTCTCTGCGCGTAATTGCGAGTTAATATATTTCGCTCGTTTACCTCCCACTCCTCACTCCTTCGCAACAACTTGTTCTCGAAACGATATCAAACGTTACAGGTTATCGCTGATGTAGATTAAAAGCGAAAACTAGCATAGTCTTGTACGTTTGCTATTTACGTTCCCGAAAAATGGGTCAGCGAGATCTGCAACAACATAACGGACACGAAAAGAAATACATGAGGAAAAATGCGGGGCAAAGTGTGCCGCGAGAGAGATCTAATGCGACTATAGGAACACGATAATCACCGTTCAATTTTTTGATATCCTTTGAAGGAATAGCAAAGTAAATAACGAACTAAAAATGTCAATAACATAGAAATGATTGTTCAAATGATTTTTGTCAAACATTATTACGCTATTCTATTTGTATTTCTTGTACACTCGATTGCTACAATTTGCACACTTTTTATCGAATAAAGTTGCAAAATTTCAAGCTGTTAGAATTGAAAGCTGTGCTGACATATATTCTGTATGCATATGTAACAATCATTTATGACAGAAGAATCAAAGTGATAATATAAAGTAACATTTCTGAAGTTTGGAAGAAAGAATTTGTTCTAAATTAAGAAAACATTATTTTGAGAAATAAATTTTATATATTTATAATCGATTATCACGCATATATGTCTGCAAGGACTTTCAATTCTGATAATTTGAAATGTTACAACTTTATTCAATGAGAAGTGTACAAACCGTTTAACAACCGAGTATAGACGCAAATAGTTTTACATATTTTTTATCGAATAAAATTACAACACCTCAAGTTGTCAGAATTAAAAGCTATTGCTAACATGTAATCGATTGCAAATATATGAAACTTGTTTATCGAAATAAAGAGTTCTCTGAATTTAAAATAAATCCTTTCTTTCAAATTTCACAAATATTACATGCTGTACCATTTTTCAGTTCCTGTCATAACCGATTGCAGCGTCAGCACACGTCAGCAGTGACAATACTGACAACTTGAAGCGTTATAAGCTGGTTTGCAATCGATTATACGTATAGATCTCATGTACAGTATAGATATTAATTATTGCGTCGTTTTGAAAATTATTTATTCATAAAAATAATGTTTAAGTGTTTAATGTAGGAATGTAGGAAAAATATTGTTGTGTGGTGTTGTATATATATTTCTTTAAATTAATATCCATACAGAAACCAAGAGCTGGTGATTATCATATATTACTTGTTTTTTGCGTTATGCGAATGAGTGTTATTTTTCGGCGAATTCTTTCGTTTTACATATATTTCAAAATGTACCAAAGTATTGAATTGAATTCGAAAACGAAGAGTGTTATTTTATTAAAAAAAAAAGTTTTTTACACGCGATATAAATAACAGCTAGAACTAATTTAAAAATAGCAAGATTCCTAAGAAAATAATCCGAGAAACAGAAAATTTAGAGTGAACGAAAAATAAAATAAGGAAACGCTACACAACTACAATAGACGACCGAGTTCTCAACAGAATTTGTATGAAAAATTGTAGATATCAGATGAATTAAAGCATGAGTGGGAAGAGTTATATGGAATCGTAATTAGCAGTCGTAATGTCCAAAAGCGCTTGTGTGAGTACTTAAATTTATTGGATAATGCAATAATTAATATCAGTACTACGAATGCGTGCTGCTTTGTTTTACCATATTTAGTCGAAAATATATTATAAATATATAGAAATCTTTCTGCAAATTTTCATATATTTTTAAGCTTCTATATATTCGGTGGTAAAGATAAAACAATATTCTTTAAAATTTTCTTGCACGGAAGAAACATATTCAATATAAGTTGCATAATTTTCGTATTAGGTAAATATTTATACTAATCGACAGCTCGAGATTTAGAAATTTGTTTCGTTTTCATAGCATATTGAGCAATGCTCTAATTAAATTTCATCACGTAATTTTGTGTAAAAGCATTGATAATTTTGTGCAACAAATACGACGTAAAATTTGTATAAAAAAAAATCAATATTTTGTCGGTAAAGCTTTCAAATGTGGCATCTTCTTAATTTCAACGGAGAAGAAATCCGACAACGTCATGTCTAAATCAGACTTAATAACGCGAGTTCCGCTTAAAAATCAGAAAAGAGAAAAATCTTATCTACTTGACTTCACGAAAAGTTCTTCGTCGGGGATTCTTAATTTTCAATGTAAAATAATTTCACACAAACAGATTCTCCAGATTACACTTCGACGAATACGCTACAAATACGGAAGTTCGATACTCATCGTGCTGGTTGTTTTTTTTTTTCAGAACACTACGTAGCGTGTCACTTGGAAGTCTCTCTAGGACCGGGGCAAGTTAAAGTTTTAAACGACGATCCCACTTCTCGTGGCGAAAGAGAGAGAAAGAGAGAGAGTCTGCTTCTCTCTGTCGCGAGTAGATACTGTAGATAACAGCGCGGGCTGCTACCGGGCTGCGGCCGGGGTTGGTTGGTTGGTAGAGGTAGGTAGTTCCGTATCGATTTCCTGTCCGAAACAATGTGGCGCGACGAAACAAATTCCCCGCGACGGTATCGTGTAACGCGCGAGCAAACCCGCGCGCGCGCATCCGAAGTCGTTCCTAACGTTGCTGTGCTCCTCCCGAGCTCGTTGTTTTCGGTCTCGCGATCTGCGCAACAGAGCATCTCGATGAGACTGGCAGTATCACAACAGCTAATTAAAATAGGACAGTGAGCGAGTCAAGATTAACCACAGAAGAAGGAGATAAATGGACAATCGGACATCTGTGTTTTTCATCAGCGAGTAAGTATATCAAAATTGTACGATTAATAAATAAATCGTGGAAATAATCTGCGGAGCGCGTGATATGTATACATTTCCATATATTAAATTATTAGAGCCGGAGAACTAAAGTGTGCTTCAATTCGGAATAAATCCGGAAAATTTTTATGTCACGGTCTCCCATCTATTATTTCCCGACGTTGACAGAAATTCTCAATCAAGTTTTATCGAAAATGTCACACTACGATCTTTTCTAAATTCGTTTAATTTGATATGTATCTGAAGAATCACAAAGGTGCAGAAGAAATTTCTATTACCTAATCGCCCAAACGAACATTCTGGGAGACAGATGTGCGCTCAGTGGACTCGGGCGACGAACTAATTATCAAAATTGAGCGACGCAGTCGAGCGGACTCGTTAGCATACATCAGAAATGATCCTAGAACGAAGAGAGCGGAGGCTTCGCGAAGGGACGATGGACTGACGGGTGAGATGGGAATGAAGTAAGATAGATAGATAGAGACAGAGAGACAGAGAGAGAGTGTGTATATATGTGTGTGTATGTGTGACGGTAGCTGGGCTTATATTTTATCGCTAATATGAAATATGAAGGCGGCTGCGGTGCCGCAACTGTTGAAACTTAACGGCTGCAGGTGGCCCGAAGAGTCTTTTGGGCATTTCGAGCCCTTCTCGCCGGTCCCGACTTTTAAGTCCCGTTCGCTCGCGCGACCGAGTTCGGGCTCCCAGCTACACACACAGGTATAAACACACTCAGGCACTTTCGAGCTCACGTGTGTATAAATGTATGTACATGTATGGACGCAGTCACGCGTACGCGTACACGTATACATGCATACACGCATCCGCACGACACGGCTGTTCAATAAACCTGTCGTGCACCCAATCGGATAACTTATTTCGACAAGCAGCCACAGCTCTCCGGGCTCTGAAAACAATCGACAATTTCTTCTTTCGATTTCCCGAGAACGCGCGCATCAACTACGACGGTGGTTTTCTGTCTAATCCGAGTTATCGCTTTTGAAGTCATTGCACTCGAAACTCAAGTGAAATATCGATATTTCGAGTCCCAATCTGTTTCATGTGTTCTCTTGAGCTTGTGCTTTAATATCCAATTTAACGGAATTCAAGATATAATAAATAACTCAAATGTATAGAATACTTGACAATAAATGGGAAAACATTCGTATATATGTAGGATTGGTCGAATTAAAATTGCTTCCATTTTGCAAATAATCATGTAAAATTTTGAATTATTAAAGAAAAGTCTTGCGTTAAATAGTCTAAAAGTAGAAGGTTTTTATGAATATTTTTTAAAAAAATGAACAAATATACACTGACAGAAAAATTATATTAAAATCACCAAATATTTCTTTGATGGGTGCCATTAACACATTTACTTAAATCTACATTCTCTTTATTTAAATAAAATATTGTTTACCTGATTTAAATAAACAATATTTGGTTTAAATAAAGAGAATATAAATTTAGGTAAATATGTTAATGGCAGCCATCAAGGAAATATTTATTGATTTTAATATAATTTTTCTCTCAGTGTATAAATATGAAAATTTGACTATATTATTTATCATTATTTTATACATAAAAAATTATTTTTTCAATAAGAAACTTGAAATTTCTTATGCTGAACGTGATAACGCTGGATACTTCTAACTAATGCGGATAACATTACAATCATATAAATAAGAAAAACTATTGAATTCGCTGAAAATAGATTTTTGCAAAAAATCGAAATTTCATAAAATGACATTTCAAAGTTACAAGTAATTTTTCTTCTCTTTTTCTTTTTTATTTGCCCCAGAAAAAATACAAATTTTGAAAATTTTGAAAATTTTCCAAAGGATCTAGGTTCATCTTCCATATAAATTTAATATAGTTTTT